TGAAAGTTTCCTGGCACAGGTAGGGTTTTGTGATCTAGCAGTTAAGCCATCACTTGAGATGTACAAATCTCAAATCAGAGTGCCTGAGATAAGCCCCACATTCAGTTCTGATGAAGCAGCGCCTGGGTGACAGTAGATGGTGGCCAAATAACTTGAATTCTTGCCATATACATGGGAGACCTGAGCTGAGTTCCCGATTCTTGGCTTCAGCCTGATTCAGCTCTGGCTATTGCAGACACTTGGAGAGGGAACCTGCAAACCAAAGATTCTCTCTCTCTCTCTCTCTCTCTCTCTCTCTCTCCCCCACTTGCTCCCTCTCACCCCATGACTCTCTTTCTATGTATGCCACTGCCTTTCAAATAAACAAGCAAAATTTTCATGTGGCTGTCTTTTCTTGTCTTTGTTTTCTTTTCCTAGTGGTGAGATCTTGGGTAAGTAATTTTATAAGCCTCCGTGTTCTAATATATTAAAAAAATGAACATGTAACCATCTCCACAGGAATGTTAGTGAAATCCAAATTAAAGGATCCAATTATAACTAAGTGCCTGGCATACAGACTCAATAAATTGTGAACTGTTGTGATTATATAAATAAAGAAAATTTGATTAGTGTGAGTAGGCAACACATTTCCTTAATTGCAGCACATAAGCATTTCCACTGAACGAGGGGCATACATATAAAAATAATGATTGCACCTTATCTTCTAACTCCATATTCAACTAACCTACGAAAAATAAAAACAAAATATAGCTCAGTGTTTTATTAACAGAACTTAAGAAGAAGCTGAATGAATCTCAAGTTACTCAGAAAGAGAATTTTTATGTGGTGTCAATACAATCAATTTAAGACAAAATAAGAAAGCTTATTTCTCATTTGAAAAAATTTACTTCAGTAAATTTAGAAAGGTTTTATGTTTACTGTTAGTGATTTAAATCATATATTTATATATACACATATATACATTTTATATAGAGCACAAGTGAGTATAAATTCATTAGCATTCTGAATACATCTTTTTTTGACTCACAAAAGAGCATTCAAATAATTGAGAAATTTCATATAGCAATATGGCATTAAACAGGCATGCCTACCTACTTCCTTCTTTTTGGCCTTAGAATTATGTAATAATAATAGCAATGATAATAATAATCATATTTTCTAATCAAGTTCTGATGGTAATGGTAATACCTGTTTAAATTTGATGTCTCTGCTACTTAAGTAATGACTATTTAGGAAAATAACTAAGATTGTTAAGTCCCAGAAGCTGAAGGAGAAAATATGAAAAGATTAATGCAACAAGGACAACATGTTGCCATAGTTCAAGAAAATAAACTGGCATAGAATGGTACAGCCTAGGAAAAAATTCCAAGATGGAGAATTAGGGAGCAACATACCGGGCTGGGCTAAGAATAAACACTGAAAAAAAGTGTAGTAAGTGCACTCTCAGGGGAAAATTGTAGCAAAAACTGCACTGGCAGTCCTAAGGGAGGAGGAGGAATGTTGTGAAGCTGTGCAGAGGGTGCAGACATGTAGCAGGAACACAGTTGCTACAGCCAATAACCAGAGCTTGCCAAAGATGCTTAAGGATGTGCTATGCACAGAAACACAGAAAAATAGCCATCATTATTAAAGAATAAGAAGGCAGATAATGCCCCAAAAGAAGTACAAAAGAAATCTAAAGTAAAAAAAAAAAAAGGAGTATTTATGAAACATGACAGGGCCATCTTCTTACTTATCAATAGTAAATTACAGTTGAATGTAAATGGCCTAAACTCTCCAATTAAAAGATACAGACTGGCTGAATGATTTAAAAACAAGACACATCTATTTAGTGCCTACAATAATCACATCTCTCCAACAAAGATACATGCAGACTGAATGTTAAAGGATATAAAAAGATATTTCATGCTAACAGAAACCAAAAAAGAGCTGGTGCTGTCATCCTAGTATCAGAGAAATATCATTCAGCCAGTCTGTATCTTTTCTCCATCTTGGATGGATATTTTGATGCAAAATTACTAATATTATTTCATGGTGGAGAAAAGTCACCAATTTTGCATTAGTCCAGAGTTTTATTTTCTTTTTGTTTAATTTCAGTATATACTCACATGATTTTCATGCTTTGTAATTATATCTATTATAATATTATTATAGTAATATTATTATAATAGGTATAATTATAATGATTACAATCTCAAGTTTCTCAGAAAGAGAATTTTTACCTGGTGTCAATACAATCAATTTATATCTAAGTTGCATAATGTAAGAATTGAAACAAAGAATTTTAGCTTCTTTTTAAACAACAAAATGTAGCAAAATATATTAATTTCCAATTACATTACACATGATTTTATCTTCATGTTGTTAGTTCATTTGATCTCCACATTCTCTGCTTGTACACTTTGATGAAACCAGAGCTACGCTGGAGAGGCAAACATGGAAGAGAACTCAGGACCTCTAGGCAACAGCTGGCAGAAAACTGAGTGTCAATCCTATCAGCTGCAAAGAATGAAACCTGTCAACATCCATAGGAGCTTGCAAAGGCGGCAGGGGTCTTTCCTCTGTTCTAAGTGAGAGCCCAACACTGTTCCATCCTCTATGGAAACCTTGTTATAGACTTTGAAGGAAAGAACACAGTTGATCTCCCACCGGATTCCTGATAGAGAGAAGATATAAGACAGTTAATATGTACTGGGTGTTAGCAGCTACAATTGTTGTAGTATGTTATTTAACAAAAGATAAGTTATATAAAATTGTTAATAGCATACACATTACTAATAAATGTGATTATTATAAATTTTGAGGTATGAAATTGCTGGGGCTAATGACGAATGCATTTACGGTTGTGATAAATTTTGCCAAATCTGCCTTTATGGTGTTTATAGCATTTTTCACCTCTGTGATAATGTATGATTGTGGAGACTTCTCATTGCCACAGAGAATGTTTGTCAACTATGTTTGAAAACATTGTGTTAAAAATAATGTCTCTAATTTAAATTTAATTTTTTATATTTAAGTTCTATTAGCATACATTTGTAAATAAAAGGTTTTTAATATACATTGTCCTTGTTTAAATGTGTCTTGTAATTGGTGCTTTTTCAAACTGAAAAGGCTCTTTCTATTTCTGAAATATTAGCCCTTTACCAGAGATATTAATAAACAACGTGTTCTCCAAGTTTTCCACTTGACTTCAAATTTCAAGTTAACACAGCAAAAGTAGACTTTCACATGAATTGGAGATACTTTTTGGAATCAAGATTTACAATGTTTTCAAAACATTAGTAAACAACCAAGAAGCCTGTGGCTATAAGAAAGAGGTAACAGATACACTAAGTAGTTCTCAAGACAACTCTAACATTTTAATGCACTTTCCAAGTTAAAACAGATGAGATCTCTAACATAATAATGGGTTTATTGCCTCACTAAGCAGAGAGGCTGAACTATGAATTATTTCCACTGTGTAGCCTGAATATTTGTATTGTTGATATGATAAGCCTCTGCCAGTGATGCACACAAAATGCATAGTATTCAAGGTTTTTTACATGTCAAATCTTAATATTTTAGTGTCGAACAGCATGTTAATGGAGTATTAGATTTGTAACCTTTGCTGTGACTCTAGTGTTCAGAAGAAAAATTAATCACAGGCCAGATGTTTGACACTCTGCTTTCTCTGTCATTCTTGTGCAACTCCATACCTTGGCAAAGATCCCCTTGCCTCACATTATCCTTGAGTGTACACTCATTGTATGTCTTATAACATTTACTGCCTTGCTATCTTATATAAAATTAGTAACTTGCTAACTTCCAACAAACACTAGGATTGTAGCCATCCAGTAGAAAATTGGAATTTATTCTGCAGAGCAGGTTAATTGTATCATGTCTCTTCAAGAATTTTACATATATCTTGTGCCAGTTCAAATAGCCTTTTATGACTAAACCTGCAGTTATGCAACATTTTTAAATAAAAGATTGAGTGTCATTTGAAAGCATAGATATGGATAACATATTTGTAAGGCCAAATGCTTATTCCTTCTAGCACATCAGCTTACATGATATGACTTAAAATGGGGGCTTCAACTTATGAAAATATTTTCTCATATTGGGAGTACTATTCTCATACATATCAATTTCACTTAATTTTATCAGTGAAATGTTTTGGGATACATCTAATAACTCTAACAGAGTGGTGAAAGTCATCATGAGCCTTGGAGCTACACATGAGCACACTCAACATGCATATACATTCCCATGATCGTGTGTCATAAAGATTCCCATAAATGTTCTCTTTAGAATAATCTATAACATCCTCTTTCCAATAGACATCAAAAGCTACATTTCTCAAGTTTCCATTTCCACTTCCCTTAAATTATTTCATCCATATTCACACTGCCTTATTCAAAGAGCACATCAAGCTGTGATATAGCAAGTACCAGCCACAATGTTTCCTGGCTCAAAGAGGAGTTGTCTTAGCAATTTATCCTCTTGATTTAAAGCCATAGGAAGTGCAGAAAAACTAGCTCTTCAGCTTCCCATGCCCTATCTAATTCCAGTATTTACCTTATGGAATCTTGAAATTTACCAGAATTGAAAACCTGGAAACCACATGTGAAGTAACCCCTCCAATCAACTGCCCTAAGTTGAGTCATCAAGTGATTTTGTATCCTTTCTTTTTCCAAGTTTTAAAAAATCCTTGGATGTTAAAGATTAGCAGGAATCTAAGTTAACTCCTTAAGAGAAAAACAAATTTCAACTGTTACTAGTGTGCACCATGTCTGAAAGATAAAACTAAGTTCTATTCTTTTTTGCTGAGATGATGGCAGGACGTAACATGATTGTTTCAAGCCCTGGGAACATCATCCAATTGTGCTGATCTCATCTGTCTGCAAAGATATCTCCATCTTTCCATTACAGCCTGTTTAAATAACATCATCTTCCTCCTTCTTTCACCCATGACCACAGTTCTTTAGCTGCATGCAGGTGCTATCACCACGAGAACAGTGAGTAAACAGAATCCTGAATACACTCCTACTTGGCACCCACCAGGCGGATGTCATCGGGTTTGGCAGATAAAGACTCATGCAACATGCAAATGTAAGGAGGGTCAGAAAATATCCTGACACATAGTGATAGGTGAAAACTTTCTAAACTTTTTATGTGTTGTGCTCACTGATGGCTTAAGGCTTGTTTGAAAAATTCAACATAAAGTAATTTAAAAAGTCCTCTCATAAATATCTCTCTGTGTCTCTTTCTCTTTTTCCTCTTCTTTTCCCTTTCACTCTCCCTCTTTGTTTCTTTTCCTACTGTTTCCCTCTGTTCATTAGATCCACTTTGTTCTTCACACTTTTTCTTGCTCTCACTCTCTTGATCTCATTTTTCTATTTCTGTGTGTAAAACTAAAATCTACATGTTCAAAACCCAGAAGCACAAATCAAGATTAAATCATATTAATACTAGGAATATTCTGAATATATTTCTAAATTACCAGCTTATTCAAGGGAAAGAAATCAACTAAAACAATAGAAATGACACACATTTATCATTATTTTATATAGTGAGGTTAGGTATTTGGAAAATCAACAATATAAGCATGTGATAAATATTAATGTAAATAATTATAAATGTGAGTAGGATTAATTGTCACAGAATATATACAACCAGCAATAAATTTTAACTGCATGAACAATAACTAGCCCTAACATTTAACAAATGAAACTAATTGTAGTTGTAATAGCAATTAAAATTATTAAATTAGTAGTACAAACACTCATGCTCACACACACTTTCTTCTAATGAATAACAAGTACTTTAGCAGAAAAGCTTTGAAATTTTATTGATGAAAACATACAATTTAAATAAGTTGGATAATTGGAAATGTTTTACAGAGAAAAATTCAATGTTGTATATGTCAGTTATTATATTAATGAAACAATTTAATATAATTGTACTCATACAAAAGTGTATTGTAAAATTCACATAAAATGTAAATGTACAGTGAAACAGGAAATAAAGAAAGGAATGATTAAACTAATAGTTTTGCTTACTAGAATACAAGCATGCAGATTTTTAAAGGAAATAGAGTAATACATTGACTAACTCAAACATATGGAAAAATTTATTCTACAGTTTATGGTGATATTTACACTTTAAGGTGACATTGGGGAGAAAAGGTAATACTGCAATGGGTTACTAATCATTTGAAGAATAAAAATTTGGAAATCTTCCTTATTTCATATAATACAATAAGTTCAAATTAATCAAATATCTCACCAATTTTTATACTTTTTCTTTTTGAGATAGCATATTTAATCTAAATTACAGTCAAGGGTTAATGCGCCATAAAAAATTCAACAAAGAAAGGAAAAGGCCATAGTTCAGCATGACTATAAAATTAGTAGCGTAAAATGTTGGAATTACTTACACATAATATTTGAGCAGAGAATTTTATCAATAGGAAATTCACAGAAGAAATAGCTAGGAATCAGTTATATTGTCCCTTATCTTTTGCTACTAAAAATAAATTATGGTTATCACAACTAAATATTATGTGAATATGTCATTTTTTGCAAGTAGTTGAAGAGATAGTTAAACAAAAGGTCTTCATTGCAGTTAAGGACTCATACACTGCTTTCGTAAATTTTATGAAACTCATATTAATGTTTCCTAATTTTCAAAATGCTTTGTTTATGACTCATTATTTTTACCATAAAGTTGACCTATAATATATTAACACAGATGACATACATGCACACAATCTTGTTCTTTGGAAGCAGTATGGATACTGACAATCTGAGGGCTATCAAGAAAGTCCTTGCTGATAAAAATATATTTGAGCAGAATGGTATTAAAGTTGAGGGAATAGACCAGGCAGATATCTGCAGAGAGAATGCCAAGTTCTAAGACCATGATGAATTTCAGAAATACCATGGGGTCACTGTTTGTGGGTGATAGTGATCTGGGAAAGTTATTTTGCCAATACTATAAAATAAAATACAAGCAACCTGAGTGTTTTTGAGTAACAGTGTTTAATTATACCAATAAAGTGTGTTTAAATATACCATGAAAGGTACTGTTAGGTCAGAAATAAAATGTTTGCAGAACTTATTTTATGGGATTGAGTTTCTAGAGAAATAACTTGAATAATTGTAAATGGATATGGTAGGCAGCTACTATTTTGATCCTATTTTTAAGTCACAAGTAAGCACAGTATTTAAACAGTCTGTGAAGATAGTGCATACATGAATACAGAAAAAATAATAATTTTGATATCTTTAAATTTTAACACAACTACCTCCTACTTGGATAATCCATTCAGCTTTATAATAAAATAACAAGCTAATGTAAAAATGTAACTGATAAAGGGTATTGGTTTAATGAATTTGTCATTCATTAAGTAAAAGGGCTTTGGTTCCATGATGATTGAATTAAGATGTCTACTTGTTGCATTTGGAAACACTTTAAAATCTTATGCTCTAAGGTTATGATGTAGAAAACAACTATGATACAATCAAACTTGAGATGTTACTCTTTGAATTCAAATTATTAAATTTTGATCTGAAGCTGATCCAAAACATATAAAGAACACAGAAAGGTAAATAATCTAGTATACATCCCCATACACACACCACACAAACACATTAGCATATGTAGATGTCAAAGAGGAAGCCTGTTTCATTACTAAAATTCTCATGGAGTAATATGATCATATATTAATGCATTAACACTTGCGGTGTTTTTTAAAGTGCTATAATTAGTGCTAAAGAAGTTGCCATTTTCCTCTCATTCTTGTCTCATCACTTTCTTTCATATTTTATTAAAAACATTTATTCATGAGCCGGCGCCGTGGCTCAATAGGCTAATCCTCCACCTAGCGGCGCCGGCACACCGGGTTCTAGTCTCGGTCGGGGCGCCGGATTCTGTCCCGGTTGCCCCTCTTCCAGGCCAGCTCTCTGCTGTGGCCAGGGAGTGCAGTGGAGGATGGCCCAGGTGCTTGGGCCCTGCACCCCATGGGAGACCAGGAAAAGCACCTGGATCCTGGCTCCTGCCATCGGATCAGCGCGGTGCGCCGGCTGCAGCGGCGGCCATTGGAGGGTGAACCAACGGCAAAGGAAGACCTTTCTCTCTGTCTCTCTCTCTCACTGTCCACTCTGCCTGTCAAAAAATAAAAAATAAATAAATAAATAAATAAAAACATTTATTCATTTATTTTGAAAGTCAGAGTTACAGTGAGAGAGCGCAAGACAGAGATTTTCCAACGGCTGGTTCAATCCCCAGATGGCTGTGATGACCAGGGTAGGGCCAGACTGAAGCTGGGAGCCAGGAGCTTTATCAGGGTCTCCTACATGGATGACGGGGGTCCATCTTCTGCCGCTTTTCCCAGGCAATTAGCAGGGAGCTGTATTGGAAGTGCAGCAGCTGGGACATGAATCCATATCTATATGCATTGCTGGCCTCTCAGACAGCAGCATTAACTGCTGGGTCGCAAAGGCAGCCCCTCTTTCACAAGCTTTTGAAGCAAGTACTTTGACATATATATATATATATATGACATATATATTTGACATATATATATATAAAGCAATATTTCAAAAGTAATTTGTTTTTAGTAAATACCATCTAATTATATTGTTAAATTTAATTTCCCCGCCGGCGTGGCTCACTTGCCTAATCCTCCGCCTGTGGCGCCCGCACCCGGGGTTCTAGTCCTATTTGGGGCGCCAGATTCTGTCCCAGTTGCTCCTCTTCCAGTCCAGCTCTCTGCTGTGGCCTGGGAGTGCAGCGGAGGATGGCCCGAGTGCTTGGGCCCTGCACCAGCATGGGAGACCAGGAGGAAGTACCCAGCTCCTGGCTTCGGATCAGCGCAGCACCAGCCGTAGCAGCCATTAGGGGATTGAACCAAGGGAAGGAAGACCTTTCTCTCTGTCTCTCTCTCTCACTGTCTAACTCTGCCTGGCAAAAAAATTAAAAAAAAATTTAATTTCAACTGACTAGCCGAATATATTACAAAATAGCCAAAAGCTTGGTTCTCTCTCTCTCCTTCTCTCTCTCTCTCTCTCTCTCTCTCTCTTTCCTCCTTTCTTTCTCCTCCTCCTCCTCCTCCTCTTTCTCTTTTCCCCTCTATCTCTCTCTTTCATCTTTGCCAGAGAAAGTATAATTTACTTAACAACAATCGGTGTAAACGTTTGGAGACTCTAATAAATAATAAAAACAACGTGTAATGGGTAACATACTTAATTGTCTCTGCCATGATCTGGCCCTGGATACATATCAAATGCTCCATCAATATTGATGAGTGATAATTTATAAAGTATAATTAAATAGATAAATTAAGTAATAAAGCATTTCACAGAGAGTCACACTTGGGCATGTTGACTCACCAACATCATCAGATCTGAAGAACCAATGTTGTTTGGATATTTTCCTTATCTTGCTGCCTCAGGAATTGGTTACACTATCCATGGAGACAGACAAACAATGAGAAACCACTAAACATGAGCATTTCAAAGATGATTTCCATGAAAAACAAACATCACCCAAAAATAATATCTTAGTAAATATTTGTACTTGTCATTATAACAAAGCTCTTCATTCAATAAGAGAAAACTTCAAGGTAACTAGAAGATTTAACAAACTGGTGTAAATTAATATCAATTATCAATAATTAAGGGAAAAAACAGTGTTCTTATTTATTTTTCTTTGCAGAAGCTCAAAGGCTTGAAGGTATTGTGTTACTAAGGTGATCTGGAATGTATCTTTTTATAAATCTGTCAGAAATAGGCCACTTTTGTATTTAAATCACTGTTTTTAGCTTTACATTTTTCTAATTAAACCTTATTATTTCAGCATGTTATCATACAATGTAATAGAGACAATGTGGTCTATTCATAAAAATCAATGTATTTAATACAAATTATTTATTAATGTTTTCAAATCATGGGAGTAGAGCAATTTTTTTTAATTTGTTAAGGTATATAGAACATATATATATATGTGTGTGTGTGTGTGTGTGATTATACACATGTGATTATAAAGATTTCTCTGCACTCAAACTGTAAATGACCATTTTGACAATATTTATTCTTAAATTAACAAAT